ATAAAGGTATTTTAAACCTTCCCATTTTTTTCTTCTTTCGGCTGCTCCCTTCATCAGGAGTCTCCACAGAGAACTGAGTCACACGAAGACTTGGTGAATATCTTTACTCCAGATGTTCTTCCTGACTCAACCACGGCCTCTGTGTGGAGCACAGCTGCATCTAGGGCGTCTGGGGGAGCAGATGGTGGGGGTTAAGGGCCTTGCTCAAGGGCCCAGAGTGGAGCAAATGAGAGTGGAGGCAGGTGTGGGTGCTTCACCTTTCCCACCCTCATTTAGATGTTGTCGGTACTGGGAGTTTTTTTTTTTTTTTAATACCTTTATTTTACCAGGATTAAATCCACTGAGATCATCAGTCTCTTTTACAAGGACGCCCTGGAGTTGAACCAGTGATCTTCCAATCACAGGCTCACCTTCTCAGATCTCTGCAGCACCACTCCCACAAGAGTTTGAGAAGGTATTCTTGCAATATTCTAAAGTCTAAACGCTCTAAAAGAGACAGAATGTCATGATTTCAGCTCTCTGCCTTGGCTGCTCTCTCGGCCACGCCCACTTCTCCGTGCTGTATGGAGATCAGGAGGAAGCCCCTCCCACAGCTGTGGGCTGCACACAGGTGCTAAATAATTTTAAATCCTTTATTTTAAATAAAAATTCCATGCCGATCGTGCGGCTCATCCATCAGTCAGCCACTGTGTGTCATGTCCAATCTTACTTTGAAAAACTGCGATAGAGTGAATAAAAAAAAAAAAAAAAAAAAAAAACGAACCACGAATTAACGAGGGACTACTGTATACTGATGTTTCACATTTTATATTATCTGAGGTAAAAATAGAAGAAAAATAGTATTTTCAGCAAAAATGCTGTGAATGCTGACATTAGCTGAAGAAACTTCAACAGTTTATAAGTTTAAAAAAATCAAAACTACCGTAAAAACAAAAATTAGCCAAGCAGTAGCTAAATGTTGGTGCAATGAAAAGCTGCTTGCTCTGCGACCTGAAGCTGCTGCTGCTGTTCTTGCTCTGCGACC